AATAATAATAATAATAATAATAATAATAATAATAATAATAATAATAATAATAATAATCTCAACGTCTAATGAAGGTAACGAGACGTGTTGCATCATTACGAAGACGCAACAACTTAAAAGAAATGAATGCTGTTCATTGAATGTGAATATTGGAATCATGAGGAAAAACAAGTAGTTTCTGAAAATATCTGCAAATATAAGTAATCTAAGTAGAACATAAAGATAGGGAATAATAACATTTCTGATAGTAGGTAATAACAAATTTCCTTTCTAAGACTGAAGGACAAGAAAAAACGACATAATTCAGGTTCTTTCCTTTATTATTACTATATTAATTGCAGAACTATGCACTCTTTTTCATACACGCATTGTTAACAAGGTGTTAACTGTAAAAGTATAAGAATTCAGTTGGTGCATATCAAATATAATATCATATGTTCCGATACATGCTGAATGTTAGGTTAAAACGTTGGTTCGAAGTAATTTTACGTGTTGTTTAAAGCCCTTGAAATCCTAGGAATATAAAACCACAAAGCCAACAAATAAAACGAACTATCTTTTTAATTTTTAAAGCAGCTGTTAATAAACCTAATTTCACAAACAAATCCGTGTAATTCCATAAGAGCTATTAGTATTTTTACTCGATCTTCACCAGGGCTGCTAGCTATATGCGCGGGCATCCCTAACTAGCCAAAAAACGGACTGAGCTGAGTTACTGTATACATATGTATACTGTGGCTGCATGTCAAACACATATGATTTTTTTTGTGCACAGGAGCCCCGTGTGAACCTACCTGTTTTCATAATTAAAATTAATAGAGCAGCGATTCCCAACCAGTGTGCCGCAAAATTTCATGTTTATTGATGTTTTTTCTCTCCATTAATTTATAATAGATTTAACAGCTCTTTGTCTTGAACTGAGGACTTGCAGATAGCTCTGTATGTTCCACTGTCGTAATCGTTCATTACTTGCCCGTTAGAATGCGATAGCGACAAATACAAAACGGAATCAGTAAAAACCTTTAATAACAGTTAATTTGGCAAAATAGTAAATGCAGTGTGTCGTGACTAAAGTGTGCAGTGACTTGGTTTATTGAGCCAGAAGGCGAAACATTGCAATAGAGTATATGAGTTACAAAAGGAATCCTAGATCTGAAGAATACGAGCGCAGATGGCAGAGCCGGAACAGCTCACCAATTTCCTACAAAGAAAATTTAGAAACTAACATCATGTCGAACATTTTTGGGGAATGTCTGGTGGAATTTGTAGCTTTAGATTCGCATACTTGCAAATATACGGAGATCCGCATTACAAACATAGATCTTTTCGAGTAAGTTTTCTTTTTAAGTGCATAGGGCTCTCTATTACTTCATGAGTATCAGCAGCAATGTTTTTTGCTATCACTAGTACAAAATGTTACAAATTATTTCAATGATCGTTATTAAATGTACTGCGCTTTCGTCACACGCAAGGAAACTGATTCTTTGCAAAGCTGGCTAAATATATGTTTGAAGATTTTCAGTTTTTTAAAGATGAAATTGGTTGATTTAACACGCCGTGAATAACATTTATCTTCCAATAGTAAAAAAATATTAACATACATTCTTAATGTTTCTCAATGTTAAAAAATATATAACCATTACCTTGGCAATCTAACAATTCAGTTTATTTCCCAAATTTGACACAAAAGCAACTCCCAAATAGCACAAAAAACTTATGTTTACGTTCAATGAGAATACGGCTCAATTACTGGGACCTTTTACAACTTTGGATGTTTCTCGTGTTCTAACATTGCATTCAAAAGTGATATATTTTCTCACAAACGTCATTGCAAATCACGCGTCTGATTGATGATTTTTATTTCTGTATTGCTCCATTATTGATGTGGAATTTGTATACGGCCTACGCAAAGGCTTATAAATAACTTCTACTTTGTACATCAGTTAATCTTCATGAAAACCTCTTTTCGTGTACGTTCACGACAGCACCAACATGAATTTCACAAGTTGTAACTTTTTGGTTCTATCTCAAGGTGAGAATGATTTTGCCAGGGCAATAGTGATTTGGAATGTTTTTTGATGAGTGAACTTTCCAGGGTGTTATTTATATTAGCGTCCGTTGTCCATTTTAGAACCACTTTCTTACAGTTATTTAATGAGTTATCTTCTCCTACAATAAACACTTTTATTTTGAATTTGTTTTTTGGAGCGTGTAATATAGTTTAAGGAATCAATAGTTATAAAATATAAATATAGATGGTATAAAAAATGATAAAGTAGTAATATTTTTATACTAATGCTATTTTTTCGTTTTCATCCAATGTCTTTAAAAAGTTTAAAGGTATTATGTGCATTATAGTTCTCAATACACTTGAAAATACAGTAAAATCAGAAATAATTAAGAGTAGAGATTGTATTTTATACGCCGAAAATATTTTTTGCTGCATCACTAACCAGGTAGATTTCATGCACGCCTATTTTAGGGTTAATTTGAAATATTCACTTTTCAATTTCTTTTAAGCAAACTATACAAAGATATATAATGTTAGTATTGTTTAATATTACGATCAACATGTGAATATTTCAAACAAGTGAATATTCGTCGGTTCGCTAACTCCCATAAGGATCGGCGTATTGCGGGCTATATTAGAGGAACCGCAATTCTAAAAAAAGTGAAAAGTCAGGCCACTATTGCCGGATGTATCACTCCTGTATCATTAAATTAGAGGTGCTACAATGGCACATCTCGCGTTATTGGAAACAGTTACATAATACTGAAACACTGCAATTGCACATTACACAAAAAGGCAAGAATAATTTCACACAAGCCTTGATTACATCAAAATGAGCTTCCATTTTTTAATACTATAATTAGCAATCAAATGTTGGTAAAGTAACAGAAGTACTTTCTAGTCCTAAGTTAAATATAATTTGTTCCCTTTCATAAGAATATTATCTACATCATCGACAACCGGAAACAATCAGACGTGAAGCATTTGAAACCGTTGTGATGTCATTTTGCGTGTAAAACTAAGCACAGGAAATTTGAATGTATAGTTTCGAATCGGTAATTTTCGAAATTACGGAGAGTGTGCCGAAACTTTCGTTCCCTTTTTTGCTACATACGAGGAGAAATTAAAAGGACAAATATGGAACCGTTCTTGAGAAAATAATTATTTAACATTTCAAAATTGAACATGACACTATTTGAATATCTATTTTTGGTGAAGAGATTTCATTAAAAAGGGTTTGTCTTTATTATTGTAGGTACCGATGTAGGTCGTCAGAAAAATGTTGAACTTTTGCATTTTTGATAACTCAGGAGGGAAACGAAAATTTGATCTACGCCATTTCTTTATGCGCCATTTGCTCTATCATAGTGAAAAAAAAAAAATAAGAAAAAATGTGGGCCATTTTTGAGAAAATTTCGAAGATGTTGACGCTTATTGTAAAGAATCCACAAAAATTAAAATATCCGTTTCAAATGCAAAGAGCCTCGAAATCAGTCTGATCTATCGCGGATTATCAATTTTGGTGAAAATCTTGCATACCGTTCAGTCTCTAGCGTTGTTCACAGACGGAAAGACAGTTGCTGTCAATCGATTTTTCGGTACCAAGTACCCACCGAACTTGGAATCTGACTACACATCATGTTAGAGTAATTTATTACACACAGGAACAAGATTTATCAACTTTTTCGTTACCAGGGCTCGTCAACAAAAGTCAACAATTCACCGTTTTTTTCGCAGCATTACAAAACTTCGTCTAAAATCCGTAAGCAGCAGATGAGAAAGGAAAAACAGAATTTTCTATAAGCTTTCTAGTTGACGTGATCGTATATTGCTTTTGTTTGTCATTAGAGTTCAAAATATAGTTCAGAATTTAAAATCAAATATGCAATTCGTTTACAGATGCAAATAAGTTTCCTATAACTCGAGAATTTGTAGCCTTCAAATGCAGCTAGCATCATTTTTTTTGTACTTTCATATATCATTTAACTATATATGTGTGGGGGAGAGATTCTGGAGCTAAAACATGAGCAGATTATGTTTCTCTCCCGTAAGTCGCATACAGTTTCTACTTTATTTATTTATTTTACGAAAATTAATCAAATGAACTCAAACCTCGGAGACAATGAAAGTATTCTTTAATATTGGGCAATTGGGAGTAAAGTCGCACTTTAAATTAAAAAAAAAAAGTGTTTTACAATAGTATACAAAATAACCATTGTTTAGTTTTAGTTCATGCTTTGTTTTACGTGGCGAGACTAGACCCAACAGGACCGATTTTCAGCCTATTTTTAATTTCTTTAAATATATCACATACAAAAATAACTTTGAAAGGTTAAAACCAATTACTAAAATAGTATAATGAACGAGAGAGCTGCAGCCATTGAGAAATCTGTAATGATCGTTTGGAGAAAGATAATACTAAAATAAACTCTAGACATTGATTCGATTCTCTCAAAGATAACTACAGTATGTTTTAGTACTATTATTATTACGGTATTCTTATTTCATACTCATTTTGTTCCGAGCAACATTTTGCCGCTCACAATCGAGCATTTGAAAAAACCACAAATTGTCTGGTATGATCTCATCTCCACGTGACAAGGAACGGGTCACGCCGTCCTTGCAATCTGAATATCGAGTTGCGCATGCACGCGCAAGGTGCTGGTGGGTGGTGGAGCTGTGGCTGTGGGAGCCGAGTTGGTCCTAATGATCCTCTCGTGAGAATTGGGTGCCCTGATTTTGTGCCTGTGATATATTTATTTTCACATTTGGAAAATCCGTGTTATGCTGTGTTTGCACCCAAGTTCAGTGAATAATTTTAAACCTTCGTGATACCACGATTACCTCTTAAAAATGAAGGCCGGTCTCAACGCTTACGTGGATATGTTGCACGAGAAGATAAACGAAGATATTTAAGTTGTATAATAATAGTATTTCGGTTGTGATTATGATTAATACATGTCATTTTAATAATAGCCTACAATATGCTACGTGTTTTGTATCGTATTATTTGGACTTTCATTTACCTTCTTTGCTCTTTTGTGGATTTTGTGAAAAGTATGACAGTGTCATTACATAAAAAATACACAAATTATTATAAAACTTTACGTTTGGAAGATGAATTAAAATTGATTACACAGGCAGTTAAACATATGGATAAAACACCATCACACATAGTTTTTGTGATTGGAAATGAAAATATATCCTTCAGAGATTTAGGGAATGTTATTGTATGGTGTATTGCAGCGGGTGTATCATTCATCAGTTTCTATGATTTCGAAGGTAAGTTGTAATTTTCTTAACAATTTCTCAATGTATAATTTTGTACTACTGCTACTCATAATGTTCATTATGACAAATGCTAGAGGTATTATGTTTCAGGTGAATTAAAGAAAGAAGAGGCTCATTTTCGTAGCATTGTTTCAGAAGTACATAAAAAGTATTCTGGATACATAGTATGGGGAAATAAATATCCTGCAAATGGCGTTCAAAATATTAATGGGACAAAAAATGGTTTGTCAAGTTTGATATACTCTTTCCTTATTTCAAATGAATATTTTTTGTGTCCTGTTCCTTAACTTTATATGTATTATTCCAGGGATGGATTTTCTCCGAAAAGTAAAAGTCAAAATGTTTTCTTTGACTGATGGAAAGGAAAATATTGTAAAAGTGACTCATGAATTGTGCAAGTCTGTGAAAGAAAATATATTGAATGTGTCAGATATTAATCAAGATGTTATAGACAGAATGATAGGAGTTCATTCTGGTGTACCTGACCCAGATCTAGCTGTGTTATGCGGTTCCTTATGCTGTACATATGGCCTTTTGCCCTGGCAAATAAGAGTTACAGAGTTTGTGTAAGTATTGTTTGTAATTTTGTTGATTTAACTTTTTTTTTTTTATTTCTGCAACATCTATTAATGATTTTCTCTTGAAATTTCAGGCAGGTTCATTCACATCACAATTTGTCTTTTGAAGACTTCCTTAGTGTTCTGTATAAATATAATAAATGCGAGCAAAGATTTGGGAAATGATAGTTTGTATAAAAAGTGTGTAGGGTTTTGGGGATACAAATTTCAATAGATTCATTTATATGCATTTATTGGCAAAAGGAAAGCTCAGAGTTAAACATTTTTGTTCAATAGTGAATTTGAGAATTGTAATTGTGTCTTATAATTGCAGCATGTTTGTGAACACTTGCATTAATTGATAACTTCTAAACTCCCCCATTGTACAGATGTTTTGTAAATGAATAATGGTTATCATAGCATCTTTAGATGTGTACTTCAAAAATATTGTGGAAATGGCATTTATTCTTCTAGTGCAGCAAGAGTTTGTGTACATACTAGTATTCCTGATATCTTGCCTAAGAATCAATTTGTTATTCATACATTCCTTTTGTGAGAGACTGAACGAGTACTTCTGAGTTCAAGTAGAAAAGTGTGTACGAGACTTCATTGACTTTATGAATGGAAAAACTGACCAACATTTGAAGGTTATGTAAATACTTGTTCAGCTTAGTAATTTGCAACTCAGTGTACCTAATTGGAATGAGAAATGATTTTGGATATCTATGGAATTTACCTCGGTTTGTTGATACATTTTGTTGGAAATTAAATTTTTTAAAAGATGTTTTTATCTTCATTTTTTGTTCATCTTTTCTCATGTTGTCTAACAAGTGTTCCTGTACCTATAACAAGATAAATATTTTTAATAATCTCTAGTTTCTACCCCCAAAAATAACACATTCATTTAAAATAAACTTCGTTTTCATGGTGTAGTCAAGAAATAAAGCACATATTCTTTCATTAGTACTTACAACAAGATTCTATAATACACACCTTGCTGTTGCCGAGAGTTACTCAAAAACTGTGATAGTGTGTTTTTTCAAGAGTTATTTTATGATCTTTCTATATTTCATTCAACAGGGTATATAACTGGATATTTGTAATTTGGAAGTGTGGCTACTGCCCTAGAAAAGTACATTACTTTGGCTTTTGAAAACAACTGGTAGTACTAAAAAAACTGCAATATGACCAAAAATCTGTTGCAACTAAAATCAATTTTGCACATTATGTTCAATATTCAATCAGAATACCTAGTCCCATTATTGGAAAATTAATCATGAATTTTATGTGAAATTTAATATAAAATGAAGTTCCAAAGCCTGATTAATTTCAAGTGGAAAAAGTTCCCAGAAAACTATTTGCTGTTGCAAAAGATTTGATATATTTCTGATTATTCTCAATAAAAAATAAACTTGAAGAGCAAGCTGTAATTGCTTCTGTGCACAAGAATAAATTGTCCTTTGGTTCTTTCACAAATTTAAGGATAATATTTTCATTTTTAATGTATTCAATGTGAATGAGCTTTAGAGACATTTAAGTTTTGATGAATTATTTATTAATTCAGATAAATTCAGTTTTCCGTAAAATACATGAAAATTTATCATTGAACTAAGGGTGGGCAGCTAAAGTACAAAACACATTAAAAAAAAATAAAAACACCTTATAATACATGACCAATTTGTCTTTTATAGACAGAATGATCCATAGTTAAAGTGAGAAAAATAGTTGAGGAATGGAGTACATGGAATGATCCATTGCTTTTTGATGACTGTACCTTTAATCAATAATACCTAATGACCCAATATTTCATTACATTTCACTTATAATTTTATTCCAACTCTAGACAAAACCTGGAGTGAGAAAACTCTTCTAATGAATGAAGTTTGCCTCACAGCATGGTATTAGAGTTTATATTTTCAATTCCAGATATCACTATACAATTAAGCAATAGGAACGCCTGTTATTTTGGCTTTTGTTTTGATTATCGTAATTGTCGAAATTCCGGTTAAAATCGAGGAAGTAAATGATTTGCTGGTTAGGACAGAGTATCGCGACAGAGGAGAGTTGTGCTAGCCACTTGGTTGATTTTACTTTGTCGTGAATTACGTAGAGTAGAGAAAGTAATGTAAAGCTGCAGCGATGAGGGCCATATTTTCGATAGAAAAACTCGTTCTGTGGCTTAGAAACTTCGTCCCTTAAACCGAAAAAGAGGATTTTTCTTATAAACTAGCATTTACTTTAAAACAGTATTGTCAAATTTTACTTTTTGTGAATCCTTGATACAGAAAAAGTGCCAATCGTCGGTGAACAACACTAGCGTCTGAATCATACACAAGATTTTTCACCAAAATTGATATTTCCCTATCATGGCTAATGTCGCCGCCCATAGAATTTTTGGAGATACAAGGAAATCTCTCTGACAGAATACCTCTATTAAACTTCTATCCTTCTCAACAACAAATTTTTCTTGAATGGACATTTAATACCGCATACAAGAATACTAATGGTATGCAAATCGTGTTAACAAACCAGCCCGTTTGGAGCAATTTTTTAAAATGTTTTTCACCAATTTCCTCTATTTTCCCAACAAACACTTTATTTTTTTTAAAAAAATGGTATTCGCGCGACATGCTTTAGACCTGAGCTTCGATCCTAGAGGAAATCGGGTAAGATTCCGGAAATCGTGTAGTACAACCTGACCCAATGCCGGCGCTACGCAAGGATAGGCTGGACGACTGCTCGCATCCCGCAAGTCAGGGTCTGATTGGAAAAAAGTCAGGCGAGCAGAAACAAAGTCTCTCTCTAGGAAGCAGAAAAACAGATCGGATTGTATTGAACATTGCGACGTAGTACTTTTGTTGTAGTAAACTTGTGTTGTGGGTAAATGTGAGATAGAATATAATAGTGTTTGTTGTAGTTCGGGAATTTTTGCATCTTACATATTTATACTTCGTGTTTGTGGGTGTACACAAGGATAATTCCCCAGACGGGAATTATAAATTACTAATTTGAAAAGAAATAGTAGTCGTCAATAGGAGTTGCACCCGGAACCCAGAAAGGGAAAGTCGCGCCGCGCATATTTAGGAATTTCCGGATAGCAGACTGAATAGTTAGAAACAGTCGGAAAACATTTAAAGTTTACACGGACGATAGGCTCATGAATAACACTTCAGGGGGACCCAGAACATCCCCTTCTGTAGAAGACGGCGGCATTCAATCGACTGAGAAGAACGTTCCGTAAGATTACGAACTTTTATCAAAACCGTACGGTTTAGTAATGATTCGAGGGCGTAAAACCATTAATTAATAATGAGCTCAGAATATATCATAAGAATTTTGTAATAAATATTAATAGTTGTTTGAAAAGGAAAGGCTGATACGTCATTGCATTGTCATCAATTCAGTAATTAGTAAATTCCACAGAATTTCCAAGGATCGTGATTTCTGTGTAGAGTCGCACATCCATGTGCAACAGGTAAGGTGACGAATGTAGTGCGTCGAACTCGTGCAAGATCTTTAATAAATAGAGCCAACCAAATTATAAGTCATTGGAGCAGTAATCTACATGCATAGCAGGGTATTGAAATAAACAATATTATCGAAATGACACGGAAATTTAAATTTAACTAGTTAAAAATGGTCGCCACAGTTTAAAGTGGTTTAAGAAAAAGACAATGGATAAAGTAATTAATGGAAAGATAAATAATTGAGAATATAGAAATATTATAAAATGTCTACTTAACGCTGTGCAAGATAATCGTGTATAGGAGGAACATCTACACTCAGGTTACACTATCTTCGATCTTTCTGTTATATTTCGTGTGGAAATATTTTGACTCCAAACATAATTGTGTGATGCCTTCAATAATTCCATAGTGCCCTTGAAGGGCGCAGATAATATAACCAGTTACTAGTAACACCTATTTCACTCGCGTAACACCAGATTCTTACCATTGTTATTACTTTTAGTGAATTAATTTGAAATGTGTCTGTTTCAGATATTGGAATTGTTTTTTATGAAGTAAGTGTTTACATTCATTGTTGTTTTTATTAATCAATAATATTCTATGTAATATTTTTTATATCATAGGTGCAAGAAAAAGTGACATCTCAAAAGTTGTCATTTTGCAGGATTACGGCTTTAACATGAGTTGAAATATTTAAATTCATGACAAAAGACGAAGTGTTTCACTTTCGCGTTACCATACGTTCTCTTTTCCCCGGACATGTCCTCGTTTAGATGTAAGAAAAACTGTCTGGGCGGATTTTACAAGAAAGGATGAAATATCTTTTTTTATTGGATTAATGGTGACCAAATATTAAATGAAAAAAAGGGCCATTGTGGCATTTTCTTGATTAAAAAAGGGACAAAACAGGACACATGCACATATTTAAAAGTAAGCGTGTATTTCTCAGCTACTATATCTTGCTAAGTCGCACAGAAACTCACAGTAGCCGAAGATTCGCATCCCTGATTTTCTCGGTAATGATATAGATTGCGATAAAACGAATACAAATTCAAATGACGCAGTCGTACATTTTCCCTTAAATCTTCTTCATTTCAATACTCACATTGTCAGTGAAACGCTCTGCTGAACCGCTCCGATACATTAGCGTAAGATTCACTCGCGCTTACTTTTTTGTAAACTAATGCAAAAATCCAACAGAATACATTATGATAAATTTTAAGATTTAGATGGCACTGTATGCCGATTAGTCATTGTCACAAAACGGGACATTTTGGCATCTAAAAAAAGGGCTGTCCCGGATAATACGGGACGACTGGTTACCTTCCGAAAATGGATACTACGAGTTCTTTTAAATGCAACCTAGATGTATGATGTATGACGGTCACTGCCCTTTTTTTGAAACTTTTTTGGAGTCCATAAATTTTCATTGTATAAATAAAGGACATTTAACGCCAACTATCTCGCCAAACAACCTCCAAAAGTCCATAGATGAATTCCATTTATGTCCTTTTCCTTCATGAAATTTGACAGTGCTGCTACCAGCCGGTACATTTTACAACGTCTTGTATTATGGTGCTGGTTACAGATTCTGTGCTCTATGGTGTTAATCCCAATCTGCTGGGATGAGGAGTCAATACTGCTTTGTGGTGTTTATATTTCGAGGAGGATGCCAATAAGAAGAGCATTGTTTAATGGCATAAGTTCAAAGCGTTTGTTGCAAAGTTTCAATTGTTGACGACGATTTCATCATCCACCAAATACTTCTGGTATAAAATGGAAAAGACAGTTATGATAATGAAGTTGTGAAAGTGATGACTATGATTGAATAATTTATTTTGTCAGTAGTAAGTATTTTGCCTTTAAGAAAAATATATTATATTAAAACATTTTAAATAAAGTGTCCTCCTTTTCCTTATGGTAACCCTATTTTACTTTAAATACCGACTGTTTTATGAAGTTTAAGAAAGTAATATCTTTAAGATAGTTTTACTAAAAAATGGCATTACTTTCTAAACCTATTCTTTATTTAATAATTCAAAACGGACGAATTTTGATGCGGATATATTAATTTACAGATCAAGCAGCAGCGATCATGTGTCTGGTTATCGCACTCAACCTTCGTTATCATATTCTTTTCCCAAGAGGACACGTTCACGCCGACGCAGCGCCCAGGAGAATGCAGAGCAAAGGCCGCGATAAGCGCATGCGCCGAGTGAGGATACTATAAAGACCGCGGTCACTGCGTTACAGAGATGCCATCACTTTCAAATCAAATTACTCAATGGAACACTGTGTAAAGGCTTTAGATCGTTCGGATTGTCTTTTTGGACTAGATGATAGTGAGTGAACAATATCAAAATAATTTTTGATTCCAATCAAATATTTATTTCCTTAATCACTGAAATAGTATCAAAGTTTTTCTGCTAACAAGAAATAGAACCTCGTTATATCAAATTATCTGAATAATTTCAAACATAACAGCTGAAAATAAAATTCCGGGAATCAGATTCTCCACAAATCGACATTGTTCAATCCATTCGATACTCTACAGATCGAATCAGCACCATGCGACTAAAACTCTTTGTCAATGTTTATCAATGACTCAATGTCGATGTTTCTGCTCATGTATACGAAGGGACGGAAAATATAAGGATATTCCTATTATCAGCAAACTCTTATTTTCGAAAATTGCAAAACGTTAATATTTCAAAACTACAAAACTGAAGATAAAGTTATTTGCCTCAGACGAAACTGTTCAAAAACACCAACTTATTTTCACCGACTTTACTTCAGTGTGAATAAAATAGAAATTATTTTAATTCATCGATACATAAAGCGTCTGCATTTCACTGTGCCTACTAAACGAGTGCTAATATCAGTGCACATGTCAATGAACTATATATTTGGATTTACAGTGCAAAAATCTGAAAAAAATAGCACGATTTCTTTTAATCAATTAATTAATCAGTATGATAAATGATATACAAAAGCAGCGTGAGGATATTACGCAAAGGAACGAGAAACGCTACCCCAGACCCCTTACACAATCAGTTGCAGTGAAGGATTGGTAAACAGTACACGGGAAATGTAAGCAGTTGCAAATATATTCTTAACCAACTACACAATTTTTCAGCTACGTTTGATAAGAATTAATGATACAATAACTAGTAAAATTATTGAAGAAAATAAATACCATTGAGTGAACTGTTGAACTTTTATAACACTTTATAAAAATATATAGGTGTAACCCTTATAAAAGTATTACGTAAACGAAATTTTAATAATTCTGTTCAATGTTCCATTTTTTGAACGTAGAGAAATTGTAACATTAAAGTTAAATAAATAAATCCTCATTATCGTTCCACACGTATCAACCGAGAAGAATTCTAAGAATTTCAAACTGCCGCGTCGCAGCGTCAAATATCATTATTCGTATTGAAAGATGACATTTCATTACACGAAGCGTGGGAAATTCGAATGAACAATCTCGGATATACAAATTACGCTAAACTACTCAGATTTTTTAAAAACAGTGTACGAGATCCTTATTGAAGTACGAGAAGTAAAACAGAATGATCCAGAATAAATGTTAAAAACTTCTAAGGCGTGTAGGGGGTCGAAGATGATATTTTTTTGACAAAGAACATAAGGTGGTAAATTAAAAAAAAAATTACCCATATAATATCTTCATCTGGTAAACAATCCTTAATGCACTATATTTTGGCCGGTCACGTTCGGAAGCAGTGAATTTGTGTACCCGTCAAACACCAACACAAGAGGGGTTAAGTACAAATCAGGGGCACATGTGTAACTTCGACCCCACAACCATCGCATATTTATATTTTCGCTCTTTCTCTTGCAAGAAAGCAAAACTAGTAAAAAAATGAATTGTGCACTTATCTTGTGCTTGTCCCCGTTCATCACACCACTTTTACACATTTTTAAATTAAAATAAAAAAAATTTATAAAAATTAAAAAATAAAATTAAATATCAATTTTCAATAACACGAAGGAACAAGATTTTTACCTCCAGGAAGGTACAATAAAAATGTCATTTACACGTTTCAGTCCTTAAATCTACCGTTTTTTGCTATTAATGCGAATATATTTAAATTGCACCTTTAAGATATGTAAAATCAATACGCATAAAATCTATTCAAATATAAAATGTTTATTCAGTTCTTTTATGCCACTTTCATAAGATATGAACAAAATCGGGTTTTCGAGTTGTTTTTAAAATTATTATTATTATTTACCTTTTGTATTCGAAGATTACCGTCTTTGTTCTCCCGTCTGGTAGTCGCGCTCAGTTACGAATAGGTTTTAGTGGCCGTAGTCAGGGATGTCAGATAGGGCAGAATTCCGCTTTTTGGGCTGCAAAACGGTTCTCTCACGGGACAAAAATTGACTTCGCCGAATACCGCCCAAATGGGCGGAAATGCATATAAACATATGCGGTTTTGGGCGGGTTTTTAAAATTACGACGAAAATATCACAAAACATCCACATTGGACAGTGAGTTTGATGTTACTTTCTCGTATATGTACGTATATACGTAGCACAGAGAAAGTTTTGAAATGCTACGGAAAATCTATTTCAAGATTTTTCTACAGAAATACGAGTTTTGTGGTTCCCTGATACCGAAGTGTTTTTTTTTTCGAAACGTTCGTCCCTCCGTCTGTGAACATTCCTAGCGCTTAAACCATGTGTAGGATTTCTCCGAATGGCAGAAGCTCCTGTCCATCTGGCTCGAGTCTAAATTTTGACATTTTGAAAAGCATTTCTTAAAATTTGTGGGCACTTTACATGAAGCCGCGAAGACACTCAATTTTGTTTCAAAAATATCTCCATTTTCCCTTCAATTTCTTATAAAAATAGAGTAAATACACTTAAAAAATGGCATACATCTGATTTTGAGGGTTATTTCTGATGCACTCTATGAGAAAAATGCGATTTTGCTCTATTCTTTCGTTTTTTCAAAAATTGCAAATATGTAATTTTTTGACAAGCCCCTCAAGTTATTAGAATTTTTACATTAGCGAAAATTTGTCCACATTATTGCATTTAAGAGCACATGTGCTTTAAAAGATGTCATAAAGTTTCTAGAAAACTCAATAGTTTTCTATGAAAATGATTTCAATATCCCATATTTTCAGAAATGCTGAAATGCCATTTACTCAAAAACGGCTCCAAATTGTTTCTTCCACCTTTTCGTACAGTTAGTGCTACTTGCACTGTTTAATATGACAATATTTATTTTGGGGGTATTTTGTTTTTTCCAAACATTACACAAATCTATTTTTTTTAAATATCTCTCGAGCGTAAACATGCACATTTGCATCGATTGGTAAAAACTATTGCATTTGTGGGTTAACGTGCTTCAAATGAAGTGCACTCAAAAATTTTCTGAGCAAAAGAGATTCAAATTTCTCTTTACGGTAACGCTTAAACGCCATTTTCTTAAAATCGGCAATGAAAACTGATATTTAGGACGATTGATTGATTGATTGTTAGTGATTCCGAGCGCGTCAACTACTATGGTCATTAGTTCCGTAAGCGTACTGCACATTTTTGCTCGGAAGGTGGCGGTGGTCTTCCCCCGCTGGATGGCGAGATCCGTCTGGTAACGTGCTTTTTCCAATCCAGGTATCTCCCTCCAGTGGGGCACCGCCCCAATTGGGATAAGCTCTCAGCTCCCGACCGGCCTTTAGGCATGTGTGGTAGTATAGTGCATGTTAGTGTGTGTGAGGGTGAGAATAGGACAAGGAAGATCTCGCGCGGTTCGTATCCCGTTTGTTAGGGTAATGCTCCGACATTCGCCTGGTGTTGATCGGAGAAACAACGGAAAACTAGTAGCAGCCGGCCGCTAGAATTCTCCTCCAGGCAGCGACTAAATTCGACCTAGCTGAAGAGCTAGTGTCGAGAATCCTGCCACCGTCGGGACTCACACCTAGGACGTCTCGATCAGAGGAATTACAGACACCTGCTGAAGCCCTGAGCCATCTCTCTCGGTCATTAGAACGAGGTGTTACTTTTCTTTAATATTCTTAAAGTAATAAATCGGTTCTATTAGAGAACCGAGAAATTGAGGAAATGTATTAAACAAAACTGTGTACTGTGAGCGGCGATATATGGCAGCTGACAAGAGTAAAGTCCGAATGGCTAGCCCAGAGCAAAGGGAGGGGGGGGGGAACTAATATCAGAAAGCCTGTATCATTCTATGGCACACTATGGTTTCTTATTGGGCGGATTTACAGTCATCAAACGACGGATGTAGCATCGTAGCATCTGACAACCCCGGTCGTAGTAGGTTCTAGTGGATGTTTTGAAAACAAGTCTTGCACATCCTCGTATTTCCATTGCGCATCAGTAGAAAGGATTTATTTTAACCCCTTACCCTATCACAAATAACTAACTGTTAGGGTGACAGATTCTGAGTCAATCGGTGTCATATGGAACTGTATCCGCAGTGCGCGTTAAGTTCGTGTGTTTTTCGCGTGCCTCAAATACATTACACTTTGTGGATTTTGTAAAGTGAAATTCACCACATGATCTGTTAACTCGAATCGGTCCGATAAAACGCATATCGTCATTTCGCAGCGAATGAATCCGATAACTTCTGTCACGTTTGAGGAAGATTTACACCCAAACTTCAAAGGGAAAAAATATATTACATTACAAAACTTACGTATTCTTTATACTTTCGTGTTTGTGATCAGGAAAAGCCATGGGCTGCTCACCAGTGTTGTGTCACCAGTATGTCGAAACTTAGGTTATTGATGTATGGAAATCTCAAATCATGGTCATGGTCAAGGTTGAGGAGAATACCAACCATTTTAATGACAGCTACCTCATGGTAAAGTATCTGGCCTGTACAGATCAATTATCCACATAATCGTTCTGCATTGCGACTGTCCCTCACATTGATGAATTACCCGTGCCCGTACTCCCGGAAACATGGTCAATAAATCATAAAGAAAACGGTGATGAAACTGAAACCGTGTTCCTCCAAAAATAGAAACGTCCAGTTAAAAAAATACACACTACTTACCTGGGAAGTAAGACAGTGGCCTGCACTTAGTAGAGGAGGAAGTCCTGAATGATTTGTCACGGGACCTGAATTAGTCAAAAAAGAATCTGAAACTGATTATATAGAAACAGGCAGAGGACCTATGTCCAATATTCTGCTCCTGAATGTATTTTTTGTTTTTGTGCAAA